ATTATTCAAAATAGACAAATAAATGTTATTATCACCTATGTTATAAAATTATAGTCTTCCAGCATGAAATTTTCTCATTAAAAATTTCACTTGTGCTTGAACATGTTTGATTCTCAAAACTAAAACCATCACCAAAGTTCCCAAATCACTGCATCAATTCTATAAAGCATCTTTCTTAACACAATCCTTAAATGTTATAAAGAATATACATTTCCTAATATCAAAAGATCACAGACAGTATTACTGTTGGCCTCCAAAACTTGATCTGTAAGAGGCAATATGCTTTTAAATATTTTGAAACTAGTTCTACTAAAAGCAAGAATAGTTAATTTGAGAGGTTAGTCTAAAAATATCTGTACCCAGAAAGGCTTAGATGGAAAAGACTACATTTGAAAAATCACCAGGCTAGGGAAATATTAGGAAAAAATAAACTATGAAACAACTTTCAATACCTGGATACAGCAGACAGTGGAAAACCTGAATATCAGATAACCAATTACACTGGAGACACTGGGAGGTGCAGATATTGAGCCTGTTGATGGAAGACTGACTGGGTAGCTATAGGAAGACCTGAAGATGCTGGAAGACACAGATGCTGGAAGATGTGGAGATGCTGGAAGCCCTGGAGATGCTGGAAGACTTGGAGGTGTAGGAAGACATGTACTCTTTGGAAGACGTGGAGTTTTCGGGAAGACGTGGATTTTTCAGGAGGACATGGATTTTCAGGAAGACGTAGATTTTTTGGGAAGACGTGGATTTCCGGGAAGATGTGGATTTTTGGGAAGACGTGGATTTCCGGGAAGATTTGGATTTTTTGGGAAGATGTGGATTTTTTGGGAAGACGTGGATTTCTGGGAAGACTTGGATTTTTGGGAAGACTTGGATTTTCGGGAAGACATGGATTTTCAGGAAGACATGGATTTTCGGGAAGACGAGGATTTCCGGGAAGACCTGGATTTCCGGGAAGACCTGGATTTTCGGGAAGACCTGGATTTCCGGGAAGACGTGGATTTTTTGAGAAAATATGAGACTAGACAGGAAAATCTCCATTTACAAAAGAGAGAAGGCTCTGTGGCTAAGAGCACATACTGCTCTTGCAGAGAGGACCAGTGTTCAGTTCCTAGCTCCTGTGTCAGACTGAACAACCACCTGTAACTACAGCCCCAGGGGCTCTGATGCCCTCTGCTGGTTTTCATGAGCACCTGCATGCACAGTGGATTTTCGGGAAGACATGGATTTTGGGGAAGACGTGGATTTTCGGGAAGACGTGGATTTCCGGGGGAAGACATGGATTTTTTGGGAAGACGTGGATTTCCGGGAAGACCTGGATTTCCGGGAAGACGTGGATTTTTGGGAAGACGTGGATTTTCGGGAAGACGTGGATTCTCGGGAAGACGTGGATTTCCGGGAAGACGAGGATTTCCGGGAAGACCTGGATTTCCGGGAAGACGTGGATTTTTGGGAAGACGTGGATTTTCGGGAAGACGTGGATTCTCGGGAAGACGTGGATTTCCGGGAAGACGAGGATTTCCGGGAAGACCTGGATTTCCGGGAAGACGTGGATTTTTGGGAAGACGTGGATTTTCGGGAAGACGTGGATTCTCGGGAAGACGTGGATTTCCGGGAAGACGAGGATTTCCGGGAAGACCTGGATTTCCGGGAAGACGTGGATTTTTGGGAAGACGTGGATTTTCGGGAAGACGTGGATTCTCGGGAAGACGTGGATTTCCGGGAAGACGAGGATTTCCGGGAAGACCTGGATTTCCGGGAAGACGTGGATTTTTGGGAAGACGTGGATTTTCGGGAAGACGTGGATTCTCGGGAAGACGTGGATTTCCGGGAAGACCTGGATTTCTGGGAAGACGTGGATTTCCGGGAAGACGAGGATTTCCGGGAAGACCTGGATTTCTTGGAAGACCTGGATTTCCGGGAAGACCTGGATTTCCGGGAAGACCTGGATTTCCGGGAAGACCTGGATTTCCGGGAAGACCTGGATTTCCGGGAAGACCTGGATTTCCGGGAAGACCTGGATTTCCGGGAAGACCTGGATTTCCGGGAAGACCTGGATTTCCGGGAAGACCTGGATTTCCGGGAAGACCTGGATTTCCGGGAAGACCTGGATTTCCGGGAAGACCTGGATTTCCGGGAAGACGTGGATTTTTGTGTAGACGTGGATTTCTGGGAAGACGTGGATTTCTGGGAAGACGTGGATTTCTGGGAAGACGTGGATTTCCGGGAAGACGTGGATTTCCGGGAAGACGTGGATTTTCGGGAAGACCTGGATTTTTGGGAAGACGTGGATTTTCGGGAAGACCTGGATTTCTGGGAAGACCTGGATTTCCGGGAAGACCTGGATTTTTGGGAAGACGTGGATTTTGGGGAAGACGTGGATTTTGGGGAAGACATGGATTATCTGGAAGACTTGGACTTCCTGGAAGCTATGGATTTGATGGAAGACATGGATTTTCTGGAAGATGTGGATGGATGGAAGACCAGAAGATAAATGGAAGACATAGATATTGGGAAGACATAGATTTTCAGGAAGACCCAAATTATCTGGAAGATCAGAATTGTTTGGAAGACTTGAGAATCTTCTGGAAGACATCAATCTTCAGGAAGATATACATCTTCAGGAAGACCTTTGCTGGAAGACATAGATCTATTGGAAGACCTAGATTTAGTGGAAGACTTCAGATTCTGGAAGACTTGAATTGATGGAAGACATAGACTGGCTGGAAGACCAGGATTTTTCTGGAAGACCTGGATTGACTGGAAGACACTGATTTTTCTGGAAGACCTGGATTGATGGGAAGACTTGGATTTTAGTGGAAGACACAGATTTTTCTGGAAGACGTGGATTCTTCTGGAAGACGTGGATTCTTCTGGAAGACATGGATTCTTCTGGAAGACATGGATTTTCCAGGAAGATCTGGGATTCTATGGAAGACTGGATTTTCCGGAAGACTTGGAGATTGTCTGGAAGACATGCATTTTCTGGAAGATCAGGATGTCTGGAAGACCTTGATATTGTTGGAAGACTTGCAGTTGCTGGAAGACCCGGAGATGTTGGAAGACCTTGATGCTGGCACCACTGGAAACCCTAGATATTGGAAACATCATAAGCACAGGATTTTTGGAAATACTGAATGTTTGGATATTTGATAATTAAAACCATATTCTAGAAGTTTGGGATTATCTAGGTATTACAAATCTTGTATTTTGAGTCCCTAATCAGTAGTTTTACGGAGAACAAAAGACCTGGACATTTACAAATCACAAAATCCCACCTATAAAGAGATAATAAAAACCTCAATATTGCCATAGTCCTGTCAAAAACCAACATAATTCATAAGATTATGTTTAAATGTTACTGGTAACCCTGCATATTAAGAGCTCTAGATGCTTAAAGATCTAGTTATTTATAGGTTCAGAGTAATAGAACACCTGAGTGTTAGAAAAAAAAAAAGAGTTCCTGTCAGGGAAGAACTGGCAATAAAAAGACATTATTGGAGTTGAAAGAATGTAAGAGCTGGATGACAAGAGAAAAGGGTAATGAAATGCTATATCCTGGGCATGGCAAAGCCATTACTATCATCAACTCACAATGGATGTAGTTACAATTACTGAGCCTGTTATAAGATGGGGCTTGTCAGTCACAGATGAGGAAAGGACTCATGGGGTCCTTCCCTTCCTTGGGAAACTACTGACTACTTACTGATACTAGGAGAAGGGGAGTCACTGTTTTCAGATGTGACTCTGGTGAGCCTCCCATATTTCAAAGGATATTTCCATACCCATGGTCACAGGGATGGCCCTGATTAAACTCCATGGGTCACAAAACAAAAAATACATGAATGTAGTAAACAGATTTCTAGTGAGGATGAAGATTGGCAGGGATAAGGAAGAGATTAGAAAGGATAGGGAATAGAGTATAATGCATTATATATACATACATGAAATAGTCAAATAATAAATTTGATTTTAAAAAGACACTGTAAAAGCAAGATTTAGAAGATATTAATAGGTAATAATAATAACCTGGTAACTGAAAAATATACTACAATATACTGGAAAATCTACACTTAGGTACTATGAAATAAATGGACTCTAGAAGTCCTTCAAATAGGAAATATTGAATGATTGGGACCACAGAAGATCTGAAATGTATTACTCTGGAGTGTGAAAGACAAGGCTTGACTTTAAGTAGTAATAAAAATATTGGAAGACTTAAGACTTTTAATAACTCTAATATACTGAAAAGATTAGAAAACACAAACATTGGGGATACTGCAGGCCAGAGACCAGAAAATAAGGATATTGTAATATGAGGAAAATCGAGTTATTGAAAGTATTGCCATTTGTGAACTTTGAAGACCTGAGTTAGATATACTGAAAGATAGAAAGGCCTGATCTTAGAAATTAGAAGACCATGATTAAAAATATTGATAATATTGAAAGCCTTTCATATTATGGTGTAGATATTATATTCAAAGATAAACCATAGCACAGACTTTTATGATCACAGCATCTCTTCTACTAAAAAGCAAAACAAGGTCAATGGCATTTTAAGTAGATGACAAGGAGGAAGGAAGAGGTCCAAGTAAAACAAAAGGTAACATGAATGTGTTAGAGACTATCTCCACAATCTCAATGAACTGACCTTTTTAGCACTTATGGGTTGACAGAATGAATGCCAGTAGGATGAAAATTATCAAAGAATATGTAGTACCATCAACTGAAAAATTACTTGTTCTAGATCAGGGTTCAGCAAATATGTTCTGTAAAGGATTAGGTTGTTAAAATTTAGTGGTCTCTATTGAAACTACTCAATTACATTATTAGTGTAAACACACATAAGAAAAAGTATAGCTAGAGCTACATTCCACTTAAACAATTTATTTTTTAAAAAAGTTTGGGTGGTGGATTTGACCTAAAGGTTGTAGTTAACCAAGCCCTGCTCTTGATATCAAATCTAGAATATAGTAAGCTTACAAACATCCAAGGTTAGCATTCACGTACAAGAGTACAGATGCAACATTGTTAAGCTTAGTGGTACAAAAGATATTGTGTAACATGCTGAAAATCAGGAGTAGATGTTGGCAATTATTAGGTGCCCTTATATTCAGAGCCAAAATTAAATGACTGAACCCAAAGTCGCAGTCAAGGAAGATGATGGTCAGAAGCTAGAGGATTACACAAATACATGCACACACACACACACACACACACACACACACACACAGAGAGAGAGAGAGAGAAAGAGAGAGAGAGAGAGAGAGAGAGAGAGATGAGGAGAAAGGGAGGGAGGAGATCCACCCCTGTAGACGGAACATACATGGAGACAAGGAAGGAGACTATAATTTTGTAGGGTCATCTCATGAATAAAATTATATGTAAAGTTATGATCTCACTCACTAGAACTTATGTAACAGCCATGAGATGAAAGCTGAGGTATAGCCCCAAGTCACTTATTACTTATATAAGGCTTAGGAGGACAGGAATTGGTTCATGTATTACAAACTAAGAACTCAAGAAGTCAAAACTAGCAAGGAGTATTGGGAATGGCCTATAACTTAAAAATCAAACAGCTATCAAAGAGACAATGGGCACTCATTGTGGGTCTTCTTACAAAGAAATATGTGATCATTGTAGGTTTTCTTACAAGGAAATATGTGGATCAGAAATAAAGATGAAGACACTCATGCAGAGAGGTGGTAAGTTGCAAAGACCACTGGGCACATACAGTCACACATATAGTGCCTAGTATAGCAAATATTCCAAGTTGAAAAAAGAGGGGCTTTGATGGAAGGCCACTGCACTAATGCTAGCAGGCAGTAGTCTGAAATTGAATTGAGGCAATGAAAGACATATAGCTTAAAAAACAGTCTTGATGAACACTCTACTTTCTGAATACCACTCCTTAAAAATTCCTGAATGCCATGACAAATGTATGAAATGCCAAACAGTTCAGAAGCCAGTTGTGAAGAATCTCTCTTGCCTAGTAAGAATACTGTGCCTTGCAGTTATTTGAAGGGAAACTAAGCTAAAGATGTAGTCTTCAAGAAGGCATTCTATACAGATTTATCATCACTCCCTATATCAGAGTGCCTCATTTATCTTTAAGGTGGAACTAAGTAGATGGATTTTCTAGAGTACAGGAATTCATTTACGTCAAATCACCAGGTAAATCAACATCATGCAATAGTAATCTCAATTTAAACATAGTATAAAAGAATTGCTGCAGGAACAATAGAACTGTTTCAGGTGTCCCTTACCAGCAAAAAAGAAAAAATGCTAAAATTCCTTTCTTATTCTTTTTTTAAAAACCATCATGTATATCATATTTGGAAGGAAATCAATATTGATATTTTTGCCAAGTATAAATTATCATGTTCTAATACACGGACTTATTTATAGTATTGTAATAATAATAATAGCAATGATTTATTGAGCGCTTACTATGTGCCAGGCACTGTACTAAGCATCTCGTGTAATCTCCATTTACCTCCTAATAATACAGGCATTTTTTACCCCATTTTACAGATTAGAAAATAAAGTCTACATTAGTTAATAAACATGCCCACAGCCACACAGCTAGTAATTGGCATCAGATAATTTGAAAACAGATTTGTCTAATTC